AATAATAATCAATAATTTTTTTATTATACCCCGCCCTCCCAGCCGAGCCTGGCTCAGAGCGGCTTACAAGCAATAATAAAAAACAAAGTTGATATGATCTCTTAAAACAAAAATTAAAAATACAACATTAAAATATTGAAACTATTCAAAAATATTAAAATTTAGCCTCATCGGCAAGGAGGAGAAGGAAATGAAAAACAGAAAGAGAAGGAGGGAAATCAAATGGCTCCAAGCCAACAGGCCAGGCGGAACCACTCTGTCTTACAGGCCCTGCCGGAAAGAAATCGGGGATCCTGCAGGCCCTGGTCTCATGAGGCAGAAGCGTTCCACCAGGCCGGGGCCAAGTGGTGAAAAGGCCCTGGCTCTGGTTGAACGGTCCATCTAACTTCCCTTAGGGCCTGGGACCATAGGGGTCGTTCTGTTTATGGACCTTACAGCTTCTCCGTGGGGCATAGCAGCGAGAGGCGCGGTCCCGTAAGGTACGGAGGGTCCTAGGCCGTAGAAGGGCTTTAAAGCGTCAAAACCAGCACCTTGAACCCGACCTCGTACTCCACCAGGAGCCAGTGCAACTGGTAAGCACTGGTGAATATGCTCCATGGCAAGAGACCCCGTGAGGAGCCCTCGCTGCAGCATTCTGCACTCCGCTGGAATGTTTCTGGTCAGCTCAGTTGGAAGGGACCCCAAAGGTTCTCCAGCCCACCCCCGGCAAGCAGGAAATCACCCGGTAAGTGGACGTCGTACTAAATATGGATGCGTAAGTCTTCCAGAGGTGGGGAGGAAAGCGTAATTTCAGCCCGAGGGCCCGTGTTCCATTCTGGGCAACCTTCTGAGGGCCGGGTGCCAGCGGCGAGCGTGGCCAGAGGTTAAAAGTGGGTGGAGCAACTGGGTGCAAATTACCTTTGTGACTGGAGGACTGGTTTAATGCATAGAACAAAACTCCAGTCTCCGGTCCTCTCGTAATAGGCAGAAGGCATGACTCAGAACCACCCAGCCAGCTGAAAAACATTTGAGGTTGTGTTGAAGCAACGGGCTGTTGCCTGGGGGGAGATATCGGGGCCAGACACAGAGCTGGAGGGCCACCACTTAGCCGCTTCCCCCCCCCCCCCCGCCGGCCTTAGTTCATTCCTCTCTTGCAAACTCCTCTCTCAAGTTTATTCGCTCTCTTTTGTGCTAAGACTCAACTGAACCTGTGGCTCTTTTCTGCAAATTTTATGACGACGCAGGTGGTGCTGTGGGTTAAACCACAGAGCCTAGGACTTGCCTATCAAAAGGTCGGTGTTGTCGAATCCCCGCGACGGGTGAGCTCCCGTTGCTCGGTCCCAGCTCCTGCCAACCTAGCAGTTCGAAAAGCACCTCAAAGTGCAAGTAGATAATAATAGGCGGAAAGGGAAAACGGCGTTTCCGTGCGCTGCTCTGGTTCGCCAGAAGCGGCTTAGTCATGCTGGCCACATGACCCGGAAGCTGTACGCCGGCTCCCTCAGCCAATAAAGCGAGATGAGCGCCCACAACCCCAGAGTCGGCACGACTGGACACTAATGGTCAGGGGTCCCTTTACTTTACCTTTAAGCTGTTCAAGTCGGCTGCAACTGACCTCATCGCAAGCTCACTTTCATAGCTGCCTTGCTGCGACATCCACTAGTGGTGGAGAGGGGAAATTTGAACAGAGCTTTATCCTGGTTCCTTGGCAATATACTGGCACGGCCCAGGCCTGGGGAACAGACCCTAAGATTTGGGGGGTGGGGACAACCATCCAAAACTGGGAGAGAGGGTGTTAAAGGGTCTGGATTCTGGGAAGCTAAGACTGCCTTGCCAAACAACAACGGCTTAGGTCACTGTGCTTTTTAGAACCCTAAAAGGCTGACGCCACACACTTTGGACAAGAAGATATCTTTAGTCCATTCTCCAGCGGCAGAGTATATACCCTAGTCCTCAGACTGAGACTCTCCTCTGAACGTGGAAAGATAGCAACACGCTCTCTCTGGCGAAGGCGGTACTGGGATTTGCAGCCCCATGGCTCACAATTTGCTGCCTCTAGCTAACTGTTGTTTTAAGATAAGATAATTTATTAACGGTCAGAGACCAGCTTTATAAAACACACTGGGGTACAAGTGGTACCGTCCGCAAGACGAATGCATCTCGCAAGACGAAAAAACTCGCAAGACGAAAGGGTTTGGTTTTTTTGAGCTGCTTCGCAAGACAACTTTTCCCTATGGGCCTTGGCTTCGCAAGACGGAAACTTCTTGCAAGTTTTGTTTCCTTTTTCTTAACACCGTTAATACAGTTTGCGAACTTGACTTTCGAGGAGCAACTCATAGAACGCGCGTGTGGTAGCCTTTTTGATGAAGACTTGGTGATTTTTGAAGCTTTTCCAAAAAACTTTCCGACACTCGTGCTTTTCGCAGACGAAAAAAATCGCAAGAAAACGAATTAATTTTTCGTTTGGCGAGGACAAAAGACAGGAGTGCCTGGCGTGCTCTGGTCCAGGGGGTCACAAAGAGTTGGACACGACTAAACAACAACAACCACAGAGATGAGGGTCAGTGTTGGTGTAAAGGGAACCTTGGCTGAAGCCTTTAAAACCTTAAATGGAGCGAAACAAGGATGTAGATTTAAGATTTATTATTATTTTTAAAAAAATATTTAGAATTTTTTAGATGCTTTGGCTGTAAGGAAGATAGGGAACAGAGAGCTAGGGTTGCTAATTTTCAAGAGGTAAATATCGGGACAGAAAAATTTGTTGCCTGAGGCTGCCCCTCCCCAAACCCCATAATGGACATTTGCTATAAAATATCAACGTCCCCCCAGATGGGCGTGTTGGCCCCCCAAAAGAGGACATGTCCAGGATTTCCCAGACGTATGGCAACCCTAATGTTGCAAAAAGAATCCTGAACTTGAGGATTCCGGCGGCATTTCTTTAAATCACCGATGCCTTGCTTTCTGCCATTGCTGTGAGCAACGATACGTTTTGCGGTTTGGCAAATTGCAATGAAATTGTTACGGCTTTTGGTTCATGCAATAAATCCTTTGGTACAGGCACTCACACCCCACCCACGCCAACCCCTGCGTGTGAGGGCAAAACTGGTTTGACACCCAACGGCCGCTGGGCACAAATTCCAGAGGCAGGTCCAAACGCCTCCCTTCCTCGCCCAAAGTTTACCTTTTTCGGCAAATCCAGGCAGGCCTCGGCTCTCGCCTCTTCCCGCCTTGAGCTCTGCATCAGTGCAGGATTTGACGGCTCTGAGATTTTACGAACCCTGTTCACACCACGTAGAATCATACATTGAAGGCTTCCTGCAAATAAGCCTGGGAACTTTAGTTTGCTAAGGGTGCTGGGAACTGTAGTTCTGCGAGGGGCAAATTTGCAATTACTGGGATAGGTAAAGGTAAAGGGACCCCTGATTGTTACGTCCAGTCGTGGCCGACTCTGGGGTTGCGGCGCTCATCTCGCTTATTGGCTGAGGGAGCTGGCGTACAGCTTCCGGGTCATGTGGCCAGCATGACGAAGCCGCTTCTGGCAAACCAGAGCAGCGCACGGAAACGCCGTTTCCCTTCCCGCCGGAGTGGTACCTATTGATCTACTTGCACTTTGAGGTGCTTTTGAACTGCTAGGTTGGCAGGAGCAGGGACCGGGCAATGGGAGCTCACCCCGTCACGGGGATTCGAACCGCCGACCTTCTGATCAGCAAGTCCTAGGCTCTGTGGTTTAACCCACAGCGCCACGCGCGTCCCTAATTGCTGGGATACTTAAGCGTGTAAGATGAGGCCTCCTGGATCAATTTGGTGATAGAATCATAGACATGTTGAGTTGCAAGGGACCCCCAGGGCATGGGTAGGCAAACTAAGGCCCGGGGGCCGGATCCGGCCCAATCGCCTTCCAAATCCAGCCCACAGGCGGTCCGGGAATCAGCGTATTTTTACATGAGTAGAATGTGTCCTTTTATTTAAAATGCATCTCTGGGTTATTTGTGGGGCATAGGAATTCATTCATTCCCCCCCCCCAAAAAAATATAGTCCGGCCCCCCACAAGGTCTGAGGGACAGTGAACCGGCCCCCCTGCTGAAAGTTTGCTGACCCCTGATCTAGAGGGCTGAGTTTGGGGATGTTGTTGTTGTTGTTTAGTCGTGTCCGCCTCTTCGTGACCCCCTGGACCAGAGCACGCCAGGCACTCCTGTCTTCCACTGCCTCCTGCAGTTTGGTCAAACTCATGCTGGTAGCTTCAAGAACACTGTCCCACCATCTCGTCCTCCGTCGTCCCCTTCTCCTTGCGCCCTCCATCTTTCCCAACATCAGGGTCTTTTCCAGGGAGTCTTCTCTTCTCCGGAGGTGGCCAAAGTCTTGGAGCCTCAGCTTCAGGATCTGTCCTTCCAGGGAGCACTCAGGGCTGATTTCTTTAAGAATGGAGAGGTTTGATCTTCTTGCAGTCCATGGGACTCTCAAGAGTCTCTTCCAGCACCAGAATTCAAAAGCATCCATTCTTCGGCGACCAGCCTTCTTTATGGTCCAGCTCTCACTTCCATACATCACCACTGGGAAAACCAGAGCTTTTACTATGCGGACCTTTGTTGGCAAGGCGATGTCTCTGCTTTTTAAGATGCTGTCTATGTTTGTCATCGCTTTTCTCCCAAGAAGCAGGCGTCTTTTAATTTCTTTTAATTTGGGGATACCTGAGCTAAATGAATGGATCGTCCATAGCTAGAGGCAGTCTATATCTGAATGCCAGGGGTTAAAAGGGCTTGGGGGGCACCTGGCCAGGCACTGGCCTTGCATTCTTGTATCTGAAACTTTCATTTTCAACACGAAGCCCGGAAAGCGTGTTCAGAGACACTGTATAACTGACCCCAGAGGTGGACAGCAGCTTCCTCGCCTGGACTCTGGCGCGCAGCTGCTCGCCTCGCTAAGCCCCGCCCCAACCCCCGTGCCCTTCCTCAAGATGGCGTCCGCGGCTTCCGCTCGCGAGACCGAGCTCACCCGCGGGAACCAAACAGGGGAATCCCCGCAGCATGGCCATTTCCACGCCTCCCCTGATCCCATCTGATTTTGCCGCCGCTTACAGTTCAGTCGGGCGGAGGGCGAGGGGCGAGGCCGGGCTGCTGGTGGAGGGGCCGCTACCTGGAGCAGGTAAAGAGATTGCCACAGCCTTTGCCCTTCCTTTTTTTTTGGGGGGGGGGGGTTTAAGAAAACCGAGTTCCTGCCCACCCGGGTAAAGGCCAGGCCGTGGTAGGCGCGCGCGCGCGGGTTATGCGGAATTGTTTATTTTTTTTTCTGGCGGGGTTGAGTCACCGGCCGATGAGCCGCTTCCGTCCCACGGATGAGCCCCATTGAAAAAGGAGCGGGGGCGTAGAACGTTGCCAGCGCCAGGGTTCCACGGGAAGAACGCTGGCGGCCGTCGCGTTCCATCCCGTGGAACGTTGGCGGCCGCGGGGTTCCATCCCGTGGAATGCTGGCGGCCGTCGCGTTCCATCCCGTGGAACGTTGGCGGCCGCGGGGTTCCATCCCGTGGAACGTTGGCGGCCGCCGTGTTCCATCCGTGGAACGTTGCCTCCGCTGCCCCCGGGATTTGCCCGTGCAGGGAACCGGAGGAGGAGAAGGAGGAGGCCTCGCTTTGGTGAGGAACTTTCGCTTAGCACGGCTTGGGGGGGGGGGAGAAAGGAGAGGCGCTTCCCCAATCTCTACCCCACCCCACTTTGCCCCCCCAAGAGGGTCGGAAAAACGGGGCTTCCTTCTCTCCCACCCCCGTCCTTGTGCGTCCCTCGGAGATTGAAAAAGGAGCTCGCGGCCCGATCCCCGCAGGCGTTTACTCGGGAAGTAAGCCGCTCCGAATCCCCCCAGTGAATGCAAAAAACAAAACCGAATTGCAACTTGCAAGTTTATTTTTTAAGATGTTGCTTAAGAGCCAGTGTGCTTCCTCGGAAGGTAGATCCATTGTGTTCAGTAGGGCTTACTCCCAGGTAAACGGTGCGGAGAGGCCGGGAGAGGCAGCGTTTCTAGATCTTTCTGGAAAGGGGGGAAAACGTTACTTTTTTGGGGGGGTGCGATCCCGATCCTTATAGAGTCCTGAGGCCCCCAATGCAATTTTTCATTGAAGTGTGCAAAGATTGCAGGGAAGGGCAGGCGAGAGAGAGGGACTGCAAGGATGCTCGGAAGTTTCCTGCTTAAAAAATGTTTCCATCTCGGAGTTTCCACCGTCCTGAAAAGAAAAAAGATTCTGGTGCCCTCCAGCTGTTTTGGAATGCAAAAAAACACATCTGGAGTGCGCCAGATGTTGAGGAACACTCCTTTTGTGTACAGGTGTTTGTGAGAGGGTAAATGGAACCGACTTAATATGTATGTCTCCCCCCCCCCAAAAAAAATATCTGACACCCCCGCAATATTCTTGATTTATCAGTGTGTCCCGTGTCGGAGGTATTTCATATGCAAATAAGTTTACTTGCGAGGAGAGGATGCTGCTACAAACATATTCCATGCATTAAATTCATTTGCATATGAAATTCATTTGAGTGAAAACTACTGGACGATTTGCAAGTCAGAAAACTTTTAACATCTGCTTTTAAAGCCTGCTATCCTTTTATTGTATGCAGAACTTAGTCATTATTTTTGTGCCCTAAATTGCAGCTTTTACTTGCTTTGTGCATAAACCCAGCACTAGTCCCAATCATTGATTTCCTTGTTCAAAAGAACCCCAGACCCCACCGTGGGAACGAATCCCCCCTAAATGCGTTCCTGCCCCTTTAACAGAATTAAACCCTTGCCCTAGATTTACCATTCCCCCCCCCTCGTCCGGAAACCTGCTACATGGTACAGTCCGCCCTGGTGTCAGAAGGAACCATAACGATGCCAGGAGGGGTGATGGGGAACTGCTAGGCGCCTTATACATTTGGGTGCGGCGCTTTTGGCCCTTCTGATAACTCGAGCGTCGCGTGTCAAGCGGTACAGCGGTGTAGAAAGGATTGTGTGTGGAGACACGATAGGGAGCGAAGCGTAGTTGGCGAGCTTTCTCAATATACACCCCCCCCGCGCCGTAAGGAATGGTACGGCCCGGGCAAAAAACCCTTTCCTGTCTGGAGGCCGGAAAGGAACGTACTAAGAACGTTTCTGGCTGGGGAAGGAGAGTTTAGGCCTTCCTCTGATCTGAGCAGGCAATAGGGTTTTTTTTGTTTCCCCCCCAAAAAAACAATATTATTGGTTTTCACAACATTATAAACAAACAAACACATAAGACAAACAAACATAAATCATAGCCTTATGGAAAATTACACTTGTTAACATTGTTCAGTGACTTCCTCGCTCCTCCTTGGTTGAATTTCATTGCTTGTCCTTTTAACGGTTTTCCAAATCACAGTTCTTATAAAATTCAACTTAAACATTAACATCCTTAGATCTTCACATTATAAAATTAAACATATTAATTCGACCCTTAACATAAATAAAATCCCGATTGCCTGCTTAGGCTTATTTGTTTGTGCATGCACAGAAATCAAATTTATTTTTTTATCAGTGCAATTGTTATTATTAAAATTTATATCCCGCTCTTCCTATTGAATAAATGGATTTTTATTTTTAACCCAAAATGCATTCAACTGGTGGGGCTCCTGGTTTCAAATGCAGATCTGCTGGAAATTTGGATTTCAAATTTTTTTCCCTGTTGGCCCCAAGAAAGGCAACACGGGAGGTGGGAAAAGGAGTGTGAGGAAAAGGGAGCAGTATTCCTCTTATAACAAAGTGCAAACTTGCATTGCATTTTTTAGTCAGTGGTGTGCAAACTTTTTTCAAAGAGGGCCAGATTGATGAAATGAAGGGCCCTGAGGGCTGACCAAAGTTGTCCACCTTTTTTTTAGGATTGAAGTTGAGCTTTTTAAAGGATTTTACCCCAAAGTTGTTGAGCTTTAGGATTGAAGTTGTTGAATTTTTTTTAGGATTTTACCCCAGGAAATAAACTGCCACAGGGGCCGGATTAAATCGACCAGGGGGTCGGATCAGGCCCCAAAACGGACTTTGGACGTGTCTGATTTAACTGGTGGGGCTCCTGGTTTCAAATGCAGATCTGCTGGAAATTTGGATTTCATATACAGCGGTACCTCAGGTTACATACGCTTCAGGTTCAGACTCCGCTAACCTAGAAATACTACCTCGGGTTAAGAACTTTGCTTCAGGATGAGAACAGAAATCGTGCGGCGGCAGCAGGAGGCTCCATTAGCTAAAGTGGTGCTTCAGGTTAAGAACAGTTTCAGGTTAAGAACAGACCTCCGGGACGAATTAAGTACTTAACCCGAGGTACCACTGTATTTTTTTCCTGGTGGCCCCAAGAAAGGCAACAAGGGAGGTGGGAAAAGGAGAGTAAGGGAAAGGAGCAGTGTTTCCCTTATAACAAAGTGCATACATGGATTGCATTTTTTATTTTAGTAAAAGCAGAGTAAGGTGAATAGATGAGGAGGCGGGGAGAAGACAAAAAACAAACAAACCCCACACTGAGGACCGGTGGCATGTTCGGTCCTGAATAAATATTTTCGAGAGATTAGCATCAGGTATAGAAGAATGCTTTAGCATAAGCTGAGAAGCCGCCTCCTCCCCAAATGCTCAACATTTTAAGCCAGTGTGGTTTGTAGGAATAAAGGTTAAGGGACCCCTGACCATTAGGTCCAGTCGTGACCGACTCTGGGGTTGCGATGCTCATCTTGCTTTACTGGCCGAGGGAGCCGGCGTACAGCTTCTGGGTCATGTGGCCAGCATGACTAAGCCACTTTTGGCGAACCAGAGCAGCGCACGGAAACGCCATTTACCTTCCTGCCAGATTGGTACCTATTTATCTACATGCACTTTGACGTGCTTTCGAACTGCTAGTTGGGAAGGAGCAGGGACTGAGCAACGGGAGCTCACCCTGTCACGAGGATTCGAACCACCGACCTTCTGATTGGCAAGTCCTAGGCTCTGTGGTTTAACCCACAGCGCCACCCGCGTCCCTTGTAGGAATATGGGGAATACGTATTATTACGTGGTGCCCACGAGTTGCTGCTCTCATGATCAGATAATTGAGTTAAGTCTGTTTCGTGCGGTCAGTATTAGTTGGTAAAACATAGTGATGTGCCAAGTTCAGCTTAGTAGATCCTGAGAATTTCGGGATATTTAAGATTCTGGGAGAATCCATAAGGCCATAAGGATCTCTTCCTTGGCTGATTGACACCTGTTTGGGATCCTTGGGCAACTGAAAAGGGTTATAAGCTTCCCTGCTTTTGCCATGTTTTATTATCTACCCCATCCAATGAGAAATGATGGGTCTTAGTACAGCGGTACCTTGGTTCTCAAACTTGACCCGTTCCGGAAGTCCATTCCAAAACCAAAGCGCTTTCCAAAACCGAGGCACGCTTTCCCATAGAAAGGAATGCAAAGCGGATTAATCCTTTCCAGACTTTTAAAAACAACCCCAAAAACAGCAATTTAACATGAATTTTACAGTGGTACCTCGGGTTAAGTACTTAATTTGTTCCGGAGGTCTGTTCTTAACCTGAAACTGTTCTTAACCTATAGCACCACTTTAGCTAATGGGGCCTCCCACTGCCGATGCGCCGCCAGAGCACGATTTCTGTTCTTATCCTGAAGCACTGTTTCTGGGTTAGCGGAGTCTGTAACCTGAAGCGTCTGTAACCCGAGGTAGCACTGTACTCTCTAATGCAGGGGTCAGCAACCTTTTTTAGCCGTGGGCTGGTCCACCATCCCTCAGACCATGTGGTGGGCCGGACTATATTTTGAAGGGGGGGAAAGTGAATGAATTCCTATGCCCCACAAATAACCCAGAGATGCATTTTAAATAAAAGGACACATTCTACTCATGTAAAAACACGCTGATTCCCAGACCGTCCGCGGGCCGGATTGAGAAGGCGATTGGGCCGGATCCGGCTCGCGGGCCCCAGTTTGCCTACTCCTGCTCTAACGAGACCGCTGATCCATAAAATGAAAGCAATAAACAATGTACTGCAGTCACACAGTCAATCCATCAGTAGCGGAACTGGGTTCCGCACAGTCACAATAACAAAAAAAGAGCCGCAAAAACAAAAAGGCAAAACAAATAGCAAAAACAGACATAACCCTCAAACCAGATGTGTGGCACTCAAAACGGAGCATGTTCAGCTTCCGGAAAAAGTTCCTAAACCGGAATAATTACTTCCAGGTTTGCAGTGTTTGGGTTCCAAGTTGTTTGAGTACCAAGGCATTTGAGAACTGAGGGATGCCTGTAGCTAGACATGAGGCCAGCAGTGCGATGCAGCAGCAAAATGAGCCAATTCGATTGTCGGCTGTATCCAGGGTGGATCTGATTTAAATCAAATTGGTTTAAATCACTAGTCAGGAAGACTTGATTTAAATCTCCCCCCCCCCCCCGAAAGACTAATTCTTGCTGGTGTAATCTTAATAGGTAAAGGTAAAGGGACCCCTGACCATTAGGTCCAGTCGTGACCGACTCTGGGGTTGTGGCGCTCATCTCGCTTTATTGGCCGAGGGAGCCGGCGTCCAGCTTCCGGGTCATGTGGCCAGCATGACTAAGCCGCTTCTGGCGAACCAGAGCAGCGCACGGAAACGCCGTTTACCTTCCCGCTGGAGCGGTACCTATTTATCTACTTGCACTTTGACGTGCTTTCAAACTGCTAGGTGGGCAGGAGCAGGGACTGAGCAACGGGAGCTCACCCTGTCACAGGGATTCAAACCGCCGACCTTCTGATCGGCAAGCCCTAGGCTCTGTGGTTTAACCCACAGCGCCACCAGCATCCCTGTAATCTTAATAGTTACAACAAGATGAAGTGCTTGGACTAGATGGACCAGCTCTGCAATTCTGTGTTTCTGTTTAAGTGCAGTAATATTGCAAACGAATGCATGTATGCGAGTGGCCTAGGTCAGTGTTTCCCAACCTTTTTTGGGCAAAGGCACATTTGTTTCATGAAAAAAATCTCGAGGCACACCACCATTACAGCCCCGTGACGTCAGCGCGCAGCGTCACGCCGGGAGGGACGCACGAAAGTGTAAGTTTCAATTTTCCCCCCTCCCCCTTGCCTTCCTTCTGTGCCAACCGCCAAAAAGCCAAGAAAAAAGCCAAGACTTTAGGGCAGCAGGTCGACACGGAAGAAGCTCCTACCTAAGGACAGGTGCGACGGCCGTGTCCTCTTCTGCCACACTTGGCAGCCCTGCCTCACGGTCGTGACTCCCACCCTGATTTCTCCCCGCAGGTCGAGCGGCACAGGCAGCCCAATGTGTCCAGCCCAGACACAAGCCCCGCTTCCCCACTCTAGATCCTGAATGCGACCAAGTGCTCTGGACTCCCGAGCAGGGTGGGAAAGAGGACTCGCATCTGGTAGCCTCCGGGCTCCTCGCCTGCTCGAGGGATGGCATTGCAGGCAAGCTGCCGGCCGTCGCCATCGCCGCCCCCTCATGCGAGTGGACCTGCCCGGAGTGGTGGGCCGGGGGAGGCTCGCTCTCTGTGGGGATGTGGCCCGCACGCGCGGCCCCGCTTCCTCCTGCCCAGGGCTGAGCTCCTTACCCGCGATCTCGGTCTCGCGCACGCGGATCCCACTTACTCTGAAGCTCGCGCCACTAGCCGGGGCTCTCACACCATGCCAGGGCGAGGCGGCGCGGCCCACTGACGTCATCGCGGCTCGCCGCCGCCCTCGACTTCCCTGTTCCCTCCCCTCCCTCGGGTCGCCGTGGTTACCGAGGACTGCAAGCTGCTCGGGCGAGCGTGGGGCATTAAGTGGGAGAAGGAAAATTAAAATTAAAACTCGCCTGAAGGCCGCCTCTCCGGATATCTTTAGAATTTTTTAATTTTTCCCGCGGCACACCAGGCAACGTCTCGCGGCACACTAGTGTGCCGCGGAACACCGGTTGGGAAACACTGGCCTAGGTATTGTCTCTGCGCCTCCCCCTTGATGGTTTGCCTTGGTGTAAGGGGGAGAAAGAGAACTGTGATTAGCAGATTACCTGTTTTGAAACAAAGTCCTCCTCCCTCGATCTGGTCCCCTTTCCAGATGTTTTGGACTACAATTCCCATCATCCGCAGCAGAGGATGATGGGAGTTGTAGTCCCAAAACACCTGGAAAGGCATTGGGCTGGAGAAGGCTGAACAAAGGAGGCAGAGCAGGCCAAGGCAAACTCCGGCCCTCCAGATGTTTGCGACTACAATTCCCATCATCCGCAGCAGATGATGATGGGAGTTGTAGTCTCAAAACATCTGGAGAAGGCTGAACGAAGGAGGCAGAGCAGGCCTAGGCAAACTCCAGCCCTCCAGATGTTTGGGACTACAATTCCCATCATCCGCAGCAGAGGATGATGGGAGTTGTAGCCCCGAAACATCTGGAAAGGCATTGGGCTGGAGAAGGCTGAACGAAGGTGACAGCAGGCATAGGCAAACTCCGGCCCTCCAGATGTTTGGGACTACATTTCCCATCATCCCTGACCACTGGTCCTGTTAGCTAGGGATGATGGGAGTTGTAGTCCCAAAACACCTGGAGGGCCGGAGTTTGCCTAGGCCTGAGATAGAGGGACCGATATCTAACAAATCTGTATCTTATTTTCAAGCAACATCTGTCTGCTTCTGCTGCTCCCGGCTTTGAAGATGGAACAGTTGTTTGAATCCGACGCGGTGTTCAATGAGCTATGGACTTGCATGCAGTCCAGCAAAGATTTTGAGGTAAGTGGAAATTGTAGAGTTGGAAAGGGGCGCCCTCGATCGGTTTGATCTAATACAGAATGGGTGTCAAACACAAGGCCCGCGTCACGGGTGTCAAACACCAGACCTCGTCATGTGGCCCCTGTAGCCGCCGGCGGCCGCCAGCCTTCACCTTTTATTCTACGGTTCTCCTCCTCTATTGTTTTGTTTGTCACTTCCGGCAATCAAGGGGCGGCGCCTGGAGCCGGAGGAGGCGCCTTTAGTAGGCGAAGATTCCCTCGAGCGCACTCCTGCGGACGCGCATGCGCGCAGGGTGGAGGCGTGACAGCCCAAGATGGCGGCTGCCGGCGTCCCCGTGGAGGTGGCGCTGGTGTCGGCGGCTGAGGCGGCCTTGTCGTCCGGAGGCGGCTCTTCGGTGTGGGAAGTGGGCTCCGGGGCGTCGGTGGCCGGCTACCGTGGGTTTAGCTGCGCGGCTCGAGGGATGGCGCTGGTGGGCGGGGAGCACCTGCTCGGGGCGCAGCTGGGCAAGGCCTGTGTGGGCACCTGGGAGCTCCAGAGGAAGGAAGGAAGCCCCGCCCCTGGGAGGGACCCTCCCCCTCCATGGGGTTCCCATGGAAACCCCAACTCTAGACATGACAGGCCCACCCCACCCCCCAAATTCCCTGTAGACCAAGTCTGGTTCGGGAGTCTAATTCGGCCCCTAAATCAGTAGTCAGTAAGGCTTGATTTAAATCATGAATTTTTTTCCAGAATGATTCATTCTTGCTGGTATAATCTTAATATTTACAGCCAGACGAAGGTTTCGTTTTTGGAACGAATAAATTTTCAGAGTGGTTTTTACAGTTATATCAAAAATGACTGATTTGTTTATACTGTTAGAAATACATAGATAATTGTGTAATTATTGTGAGGTTTAATAAGTCAACTGTTTATAGTTGGACAACTTTACTGCTGTACTTTGTTGGAAAGAGAAAAATAACCATTTCCTTAATAACAATCGAAACTATTTAACTAAAAGAATAACTTTAAAGCATATGTATCCATGTTTGTTAACTGATGGGGTTAAATGGTTTTTTGTTTTGTTTTTTTAAACTTGGGCTGAGTTTTAGCACACATGAAAAACTTAAAACAGGAAATAAATCCTTATTTCCTGATGAATAGCCTTTGGACTATAATGTAAGTTAAATAGAAAACTACCGTATTTTTTGCTCCACAAGACACACTTTTTTCCTCCTAAAAAGTAAGGGGAAATGTCTGTGCGTCTTAGCAGCTGATCGGCAAGCGATCGGGGAGGGAGATAAGGGACGCTAGTGATAAAGGAGGCTGCCTGGGGGGGGGAGGTAACAGCCCATGGATCCTCAGGATTTTTGCATTGGGCTACCCCAAACTCACCATCAAATCACATATCATTTCTGTGGCCACAGCATGAACCACAAAAATCATACACCCACTGTTTCGTTCAGAATATTTTTTCCGTTGTTTTCCTCCTCTAAAAACTAGGTGCGTCTTATGGAGCGAAAAATACGGTATCCTTCGGCTACCGATGGATGGATTGATTGATTGTGTGACTGCAGTACATGGTTTTTTGCTTTCATTTTATGGATCCATGGTCTCGTTAGAGAGTAAAATCCATCTTAAAGTTCTGTTTTAGGGGTTGCTTTTAAAAGTCTGGAAGGGATTAATCCGTTTTGCGTTGCTTTCTACGGGAAAGCGCGCCTTGGTTTAGGAACGCTTTGGTTTTGGAACGGACTTCATGAACGGATGGAGTTTGAGAACCAAGGTACCACTGGAAGAAGAAGATGATGATGTTTGGGCGCTTGTCCTGCTCAGACCACATTGCTTCGGCTCGCTCAGGTCCCTTCAAATTGCAACCCCGTAATTCTCTTTTCAATTTCTTTCTCTCTTCCCACCCTCTGCCCCTCCCAGGAGGAACTTCATAAGGACCTGACCCTGGAGACCTTTGACCTTCCTTTCTCAGAGGAGGGCAGTGCCCCCCAGGCCGGCGAGCACAGCAGCGAGGCCACAATCCTCCCCTCCACCTCCGCCGTCCCTTCCACTGAAAACTACCCTGGCGAGCACGGGTTCGAGTTGGCGTTTGAGCCGTCGGGGACCGCCAAATCCGTCACCTGCACCGTACGGAGCTGGGCAGGGGGGTGGAAGTGGGGCAGGGGAAATGATCTATTTAAAAAAATAATATTATTTTAAAAAGAATAATGGGTTGGGGTACATTGAGGACCGGATTTAGGTTTGATGAGGCCCTAAGCATCTGAAGGCAGCCCTGTTTAGGGAAGTTTTTAATGTTTGATGCTTTATCATGTTTTTAATATTCTGTTGGGATGCGGGTGGTGCTGTGGATTAAACCACAGAGCCTAGGACTTGCCGATCAGAAGGTCGGCGGTTCGAATCCCCGCAATGACGGGGTGAGCTCCCGTTGCTCAGTCCCTGCTCCTGCCAAACTAGCAGTTCGAAAGCACCTCAAAGTGCAAGTAGATCAATAGGTACCGTTCCGGCGGGAAGGTAAACGGTGTTTCCGTGCACTGCTCTGGTTCACCAGAAGCGGCTTAGTCCTGCTGGCCACATGACCCGGAAGCTGTACGCCGGCTCCCTCAGCCAATAAAGCGAGATGAGCGCCGCAACCCCAGAGTCTGTCACAACTGGACCTAAGAGTCAGGGGTCCCTTTACCTTTTAATATTCTGTTGGAAGCTGCCCAGAGTGCCAGATGGCTGGGGTATAAATACCGTATTTTTTGCTCTATAAGACTCACTTTTTCCCTCCTAAAAAGTAAGGGGAAATGTGTGCGCATCTTATGGAGCGAATGCAGGCTGCGCAGCTATCCCAGAAGCCAGAACAGCAAGAGGGGTTGCTGCTTTCACTGCGCAGCATTCCCTCTTGCTGTTCTGGCTTCTGAGATTCAGAATTTTTTTTATTGTTTTCCTCCTCCAAAAACTAGGTGCGTCTTGTTGTCTGGTGCATCTTATAGGGCGAAAAATACGGTAATAAATTATTATTATTAGTATAAGCTACTGAAGGTAACGGGGCCCTTTCTATGCCCAGCTGTACTTTGTCAGCAACAAATTGTCGCTGTTTTTTTGTGTTGAATATATGCTATATGGTCATTTATGGACCTTGCAAGTATCTCAAGCCATTTGCACATAGCAAAATATGTATTTTATCAAAGTAATTGTTGAGCTGAAATACAATTAAGAAGTATATTAACAGTGAAGTACAATTGAGAAGAGGTATGTTAATAGTGAAATAATTATTAAGCTCTAACTTAAAATCATTTTTTTATTCACAATGCAAATACATTGGCATTTGGCAATAACAAAAATTCCTTTAGAAACACGGTTTACAGAGACTCATAATCTAGTCTCGGGAAACTTGTTATAAGTGTAATGTGAAATAATAATAGGTGTAAATATATGATGTAAACTATCTGCTAATAATTATAAATAGCAGAATGTAGGCACCCTATATATAGAAAGGAGCAAACCTGTGATATTTTAGGGAGCAGGCGGGGCCCATGACTTAGATCACAGAAGCCTACACAACACAAAACACTGTTGCTGCCTGTAGGTTTTATTTGTTTTTTATCTTATATTTTGGAAATGTACATCCATGTGTTTCCCCCCCCTTCAATTTATTTGGGGGCCGCCAAGAGAGTGGGGCCCTAAGCTATAGCTTGTTTAGCTTATACGTAAATCCGTATTGTTTGGAGGAGAGACCTTCACCCATGGAGGGGCATTGGCAAAGGTTGGTTTTATAAAAGGTCAGAAACTCAGATAGATAAGCTAATCATGAAACAGGTTAAGGTCGCCAGAAGAGAATGTCTAGAAGTCTATTTTATTTTCTCATTTAAACTTATTATTATTAATTTCATTTCTATATCGAAGGCGGAGGGCCTTCTCGGTGGTGGCGCCCGCCCTGTGGAACGCCCTCCCACCAGATGTCGAGGAAATAAACAACTATCTGACTTTTAGAAGACATCTGAAGGCAGCCCTGTTTAGGGAAGTTTGTAATGTTTGATCTTTTATCATGTTTTTAATATCCTGTGGGGAGGCCTGGCCAGGTGGGCTGGGTATAAGTACTTTTATTATTATTATTATTATTATTATTATTATTATTATTATTATTCTAAAGGAAACATCTCCAGAGCTGTTTACCGAAACTTTAAAACATCATATGAAACCATCCCGAATAAACCAGATGCAGGCGTCAAGGAAAATATTCCAGATCCATCTCTAAGTGGCCTTTTGCTTTCCCCAAATCTATTCACCTAGTTAATTGATACAGCTTTCCCCATAGCAGAAGGACTCTGGGAAGGCAGTGGGGTGAAGTGGTGAGAGTGTCAGACTGGGCCCTAGGAGTTCTGGGTTCAAATCCCCGCTGGGCGACCTTGGAGTCAGTTGCAGCCTCTTCGCCGCTCTCTCAGGGTCATTGTGGAGATTAACTGAGCAGGGGGGTGAACCATGCACTACTTGAAGAATAAAGTGGGATAAAAATACAATTAATAAGTTATTCTGCTCACCGGCTTAAGAACGCTGGAAGAGCCAGCCAGAGGGAGATGCCGGTCACCAACTTGGTGCCTGGTTCCCTGTAACCCCATTTCTCACAAGGAGGGAACCACCAGAAGGCCCTCGGAGCTGGACCTCAGTGTCCGGGCTGAACGATGGGGGTGGAGACGCTCCTTCAGGTCTACTGGGCCTTTGAGGCCGTTTAGGGCTTTCAAGGTCAGCACCAACACTTTGAATTGTGCTCGGAAACGTACTGGGAGCCAATGCAGATCTCTCAGGACCGGTGTTATATGGTCTCGGCGGCCGCTCCCAGTCCCCAGTCTAGCTGCCGCATTCTGGATTAGTTGTAGTTTCTGGGTCACCTTCAAAGTAGCCCCACGTAGAGCGCGTTGCAGTAGTCCAAGCGGGAGATACCGTATTTTTCGCCCTATAGCACGCACTTTTCCCCCTCCAAAAATGAAGGGGAAATGTGTGTGCATCCTATGGGGCGAATGCAGGCTTTCGCTAAAGCCTGGAGAGTGAGAGGGGTCGGTATGCATCGACCCCTCTCGCTCTCCAGGCTTCAGGAAGCTTTCCACAAGCCGTGGGAGAGCTGCGTGACTTCACGCAGCCCTCCCACGGCTTGCGGAGAGCTGCCTGTTCTGGGGGCTGGGGTTGGGGGAGGCTTGGGATTTCCCCCACCCCAGCCCCACGCATGGGGGAAAATAATTCCCCCCCTTTATTTCCCCCCCTAGGTGCACCCTATCAGCCAGTGCGCCCTATGGGGCGAAAAAATACGGTAACTAGAGCATGCACCACTCTGGCGAGACAGTCCGCAGGCAGGGAGGGTCTCATCCTGCGTACCAGATGGAGCTGGGGGACAGCTGCCCTGGACACAGAACTGACCTGTGCCTCCGTGGACAGCGGTGAGTCCAAAATGACTCCCAGGCTGCGCACCTGGTCCTTCAGGGGCACAGTTGCCCCATTCAGGACCAGGGAGTCCTCCACACGGCTCCCGCAACTGGACCCGCCTGGGGGATTTTGAACAGGGTGCTCCCCCTGGGTGCCATAAATTCATCCCCAGTGCCCCCTAAAAGCGTGATTTCAATAGCGGTTTTGCAGGAGCCACAAAGAAAATAACAGCACAGTTCAATTCAAAGCATTCACAATGAATGGCACACCCGTTCGAAAGCCCCATATAAACTAACATGGATCTAGCCTGAAAGTCTTCGTTACAGGGCCCTGGGTTTGAGCCTCATGTCGGGCAAAAGATTCCTGCCTTTAAAGGGGGTTGGACTAGATGACCCTCGGGTCCCTTCCAACGCTACAATTAATTCTTTTTAAATTTTATTTTAATAAATTGGTTGAATGAATGGATTCACACCTCCTTCTTTGTTATGTTTGGGGTGGTGTGTGTGGTGGTTGTTGTTTAGTCGTGTCCGCCTCTTCATGACCCCCTGGACCAGAGCACGCCAGGCACTCCTGTCCTCCACTGCCTCCCGCAGTTTGGTCAAACTCATGTCCGTAGCTTCGAGAACACTGTCCCACCATCTCGTCCTCTGTCGTCCCCTTCTCCTTCTGCCCTCCATCTTTCCCAGCATCAGTGTCTTCTCCAGGGAGTCTTCTCTTCTCATGAGGTGGCCAAAGTCTTGGAGCCTCAGCTTCAGGATCTGTCCTTCCAGTGAGCACTCAGGGCTGATTTCCTTCAGAATGGAGAGGTTTGTTCTTCTCGCAGTCCATGGGACTCTCAAGAGTCTCCTCCAGCACCAGAATTTAAAAGCATCAATTCTTCGGCAATCAGCCTTCTTTATGGTCCAGCTCTCACTTCCATACATCACTACTGGGAAAACCATGGCTTTACTATATGGACCTTTGTTGGCAAGGTGATGTCTCTGCTTTTTAAGATGCTGTCTAGGTTTGTCATTGCTTTTCTCCCAAGAAGCAGGCGTCTTTTAATTTCGTGGCTGCTGTCACCATCTGCAGTGATCATGGAGCCCAAGAAAGTAAAATCTCTCACTGCCTCCATTTCTTCCCATTCTATTTGCCAGGAGGTGAGGGGACCAGCGGCCATGATCTTCATTTTTTTGATGTTGAGCTTCAGACCATATTTTGCGCTCTCCTCTTTCACCCTCATTAAAAGGTTCTTTAATTCCTCCTCACTTTCTGCCATCAAGGTTGTGCCATCTGCATATCTGAGGTTGTTGATATTTCTTCCGGCAATCTTAATTTTCCATTTAATAATACACATTTACATCATCATTATCGACTTTACCGCCCTGGCTTTCAAAATTAACTCTACAATTAATTCTTAACTAATTTAATCGAGTTGTAGAATCGTAGAATTACAGAGGGGCCCCGATGGTCATGTTGTCGAACCCTCTTGCGATGCAGGAATAGCTGAACTTGGGTCCAGTGATACCAGCTTTTCAAAGTCTTATATCTTGGTGCCATCTCTGTCACCCATTAACGCTCATTTTCACAAACAGAAGACCTGGCCTGCTCTCTCCTTCCCAAAATGTTCAGAAGGGGCCACATTCTTTTTAGAAACGCACTTCGGGTGGATAGCACCCATCCTTTACTCCTGCCGTGCCGCCTGGCGACCGGTGGGAGTTGTAGTTCACAGGAGCTTAGGGGCACCCAGCTGAAGGATGTCGGCCGCCTTGGCGCCATGCGTTTGAAGCGCTGTGATGCCACACGTCAAACCATCATGGCTTCAACCCCCAAAGGATTCTGGGAGCTGTAGCTTGTTC